ATCACACACAGCAAAACGGGTCAGGGAAACGATCGAGGCGTTCAGTTGGGAAATACTAACGCATGCGGCTTATTCTCGAGACTTGGCTCCGTCCGATTATCATCCATTCGCATCAATGGGACACGCTCTCGCTGAACAATGCTTCAATTCGTGTGAAAATGTACGAAAATGGCTCGATAGCTGGTTTGCTTCAAAAGAAGAAATGTTTTTTTGCCGTGGCATTCATAAACTGCCGGAGAGGTGGGAAAAATGTATAAATAGCAATGAACATTATTTTGAATAAAATATTTTTTATCATTTTCAAACAGACGTGTAATTTTTACAAAAAAATTCCGATTTCAAACTTCTACACCTGGTATGTGTGTGTGTTTGCGGTAATAAGCAATTATTCTCGTACGATGGTTTTATTTATATGCGTATAAATTATTATTTTCGTTATATATATATATATATATATATCTGTATAAATATATGAGTTACTCTTCAAATATACAATTCCAAAGTATAGTTAAAAAATTTTAGAATCGTATGCTCGGATGCTTATGGTAATTTCTCTCTTGCAAATTTCCATCTGTCATCACACTCGATATTTAATTAACAAAAGTTTACGGACCCTCGCGCCGACGTTTTCTCTTCTTTGTATTGCGAAGAGTTTTAATAGATCGATTGGATTACTGATACAGAAAATAATTCGCTCGATAGTATCAAACTGACGTGTTTAAATTTTCGACTGACTGAAGCGTCATCGATTTCGAGAAACGAAATCATTGCCGACAATTTTGGACTCGTTTTCTCGTCTGGAAAATAAAGTCCACTTAAGTTTTCTCTTCCTGCAACTCGTCGGTGTAGAGTTGGTGAAGACAACAATATGACTGTGCGCACTCCCAGCCATCGTCCTTTCGGCGATCATTTGCGTCAGCTACGAGCGTCGATGGGTTTGTTTTGTGCGAGTGAGTGTGTTATCGAGCCAAAGTCGAGAAATTAATTACGATCGGTTACCGATGAGCGTGAGAAGGCACTACTACTTGTTCTCCGGATGCACTTATAAGTCGAAGTGCGTCTCGTTATAACTGTATAAAAAAATTCATGTATGATGTACGATAGTATAAAGTTTGACATGCTTTTTTCGATACGTTTAGGAATACATCTGATCCAATAACGTAAAAAGCTATTTTCCGATAATCTCTTTCAAACACAAATTCTCCTATTGGACTTCGATTACGTTTCCGAAGTGCACCAAAAAGAAGCGTGCCAACCGTTATATTCGCAATTATACATACGTGTATATTAAAGTCGTAGAGTATCAAAAAACGTCGCCGCGCGATAGGTTCGTCGATGGAAAAAAAATAATAATAAGATCGATAAATCGAGCAGCGGCACTCCTGTTTCTTGCCTGCGTCATCGTCTTCCCCGCCTTATTGAAATCGTCTCGCTACCTGTGGACTCCTTGTAAGGAAAATACATACGCGCGCAGGGTGAGGGCCCATTTACGGCAGCCTGTCTGACATTTTGCTTCGGTTATACATCTGTACAAAATTCTCATCTGTACCACAAATCGACCCTCCCTCCGAACGGATCATCGAACTCGTCATCCGCAACGAAGCAGTCTTTTGAGATAGTCCAAGCGGCGGCGGATCTAAATTGCATTGCGTCGATTAAATCGCCCGGGCAATCCGTCCACTCAATTAAAGGGTTTTCATGGTTTTGTCAATGTGCCGTAACGTCGTTTCGGGCACCGCGTCCGTCAGCGCTTTCCGAAAACCTTCGCAGCGAGTCAATCGCTTAAACATCCTCTTCGCGTGATTCCTAAAAAAAAAGTTTTTATCGTCAAACCCCATCGTGATGCCGATGGTAGAAGAAACAGATCCGCTGTATGAATACCTCGCGTCCAGATTTCCATCCATCAGCAATTTTGCGCCAGTATTTAATAATTTATCCTTCACGTCGCGCGGTAAAATCATCACGTGATCAGGTCCGATGCGATCGATGATATCTGATAACAGTCGTGCGGTCGTTGCGCGAACGATTGCGTTTTGATGGCTGTAAATGAATGATTAGCAAGTGAATCACATCATCACGTATAATACAAAATATATACGGAATAATTAAAAATCAGTTCGCCAATGCTTGTCTATAGAAGATCGAACTTTTTCAAAATATGATAAAAACATACTGAAAAGTCTAAAAATATGTGCCTTATAATTTCTTTGAAAAAAAATTGAGAAAAATCATTTTATTTTCCTACAAACTATTCTTAAGTCGTGACCGCAAAGCTTCCTTTGATGAATTCTGGTTGCAAAGATTACAAAACAGTACAACAGGACTTTTCTATTTAGTTTCATGTGTTCTATCTGTATACATGCGTTGGCACGCTAATTATTAGACACCCTGTAGGTAAGAATATTCCTTGAAAATTTGAAACTTTCGACTTGCCTCGCTCCTTTCAGTACAATGGTACCGATAGTCTTATGAGGCGGAAGATGTTGCACCATCTGATCTAGAGCCGCGTTACAATCCGCTCGAAGAAATCGATTCGTATCGGCTGTTCTGTGAAGCAAAGGACCCGCTATTTCATCCAGATCCTGCGAGAGCGAAAGAAAAAGAGTCAGTTATGGTCTACGAAAAATATACGTATCAAATGAAAGAACTTGCGTCGCGATGCCTTTGCACCGACCGATTCTTTCCTTCGGACGCTTTATATAAAACAACGTACATACATTCGATACTTACCTGATCGATACCCCGAATCTGCGAACTAAAAACATCACTGGCCGCGTTACACGCGGCTCGTGCCACTTGCGAACGGAGATTCTTCACGTGTCGACCTAAAAGTCGTGCTATCGTGTTAACCACGAAAACGTCCAAGTACTCTGGAGACTGCTTCGAGATTTGAGACAGACACTTTAAGCCTTTCATCGTTACTTCCCTGAAACGCAGACATTTGTCAGTTTTTTCGTTTAATAATTCATGTACAACAGTTATGACGTTTTGCATTATTAATATATTGCAAAATTTAGCAGTTTATCAGCAATTATTTTCACAAACCATTTTTATTAATGGAAAGAGAAAAAAGAGAAAGCAAAAAAATAAATAAATTATATATATATATATATGATCTAGAGCCGCGTTTATCTGTTATATATATATATATATATATATATATATATACTATATATGATTTAGAGCCTTATATATATATATATATATATACTATTTATATAGATTTATACAGATAGATTATATATATATAATAATATTTAATATTATTTATGTAATAATCTATCTGTATAANTATATATATAAATCTACATAAATAGTATATATATATATATATATATATATAAATCTACATAAATAGTATATATATATATATATATATATATATATATAACAGATAAATTATTACATAAATAATATTAAATAAACCAGAGGGAGATTATTCACGAAAAATAAATCATAAATTATGATATAATTTACTATATAATTATTCTCATCTAATGATAGAAAGATGCTACGATGCATAATCGAGATGTTCTATCGGAAAGAAAGCAAATAACGTTGAATAAATCACACTCACTAGAGACAGATTTCGTACTTACCAATCTTTATTTTCAAGCTGAGCAAAGCACTGCTGCACCATCCGCTTGGACTTCTCCGAAGGCTTTTCTGCAGCTTTTTTTGTAGAGAGCGCTCGATATCTACTGACACTATGTACCGGTACTTTCGAAAGGATTCTTCTGCATGACTCGATAGTCTCTATGGACTGAGACTATAAAAAAAAAAACCATTGTGACACGACAATTCATAGTAAGCCCTTCAGACTTGTTATTATGATTTAATGGCTCGATCGATAAGATTTATTTATTTGTATAAAATTTCATCTTTAATCTTCTCTATACCTCAATCTTCAATATTCCCGGCTCCGTGTTTGTTTCGCTGGCGCTATCTTTGCTCTGTCTATCCTCCAGAGTATCGTTCGCACTGGACTCTTCCTCCGTGGACTGAAAGCACCACGGTTACTAATATCGATGTATCTCGATGAATTTCTATCCATGTAAGCGTCTCTTACCTCCTGAGTATTATTTCTACTAAGCTCACTCGCGTTTTCGACGTTCCTTATGTTTTCGACGTACTCGATGGTCTCGAGAGAATGGGGCCGCGACGCGATGATAATCACCGGCGAATCGGTTGATATGCGGCTGATATGCGGACTACTGATGTCCAACGATCGAATGGAAGTATTCTCATCGAGTATTATGGAAGCGACTAATCTTTCCTCGTTGGAATCCTTGGTCTCTCCGACCTGACGTTCGATCTAAACATTTCGAGAGATTCTTGTTGTTTAACTTGTTGCCACAAATATAGGAATTCATCCGTGTTGGGAATAGTGTGTTAAAAAAAAAATATATATATATATTTTTTTTTAATATTTTACAAATATGTTCAACCGATCAGTGTTATTTTAAGGATGTAACCTTTTATTTTTACGTATTCCGCAAGAATTTTGATCGTAAATTTTCTCAGTTCTGAAACCATTAATCAAAATGACTGTAACGAAGAAACCGCTTAAATTCAATATGTAAATTTAATTCGTAGCTCATTATTCGTAGCTTCTATTCCGATGAAATTTCTCCCGTCATTATTCGCGACTTCGGACTTCGAAATTCGCTGTTCGAAAATTCGTAATCTCGGATTTTCCGTAGATTCCGCCGTGTTTACTGACCAAATTGCACGAATCGCAGCGAGAGCTTTGCTTGGACGGCGAGTGGGAGAGTGGCGAATGACAAACACTGTGATTCGGTGATTGATACAGAGACTTCTTGGGGCTGGCGATTTTCAGGGCGCTGGTCGTTTGCAGCGACTCCTTGGATACCTTCGAGTCCTCGTAGGGCAGAACTCGTTCGTTTGTAATCACAGACACGATGGACGTTCTTCTCGGTCGGTTTTCCAATTGCTCGGGAAATCCGGAGCTGCTTCCGGTTGTACTCCCATTGCAGACTTCGTCCTCCATCGGCTCTTCGCGTTCTGAGTGTCTCGAAATCGCGCCGATTCGGCTTATGGATTTCGCCTCGTCCTCGCTGCTCCATTCCTTCGACGCCTCGTCCTCGATCAGCGCGCTCCTCCTTTCGATCGGATGTTCCACTTGGCTGTTATCCATCGCCGACTAAAACGGTTCAATCAAATTTCCCATTCAGAATTCTCCTCTTTCGATTTCGATAAAACTCTCTGGTATCGAATATATTCCAATGACGACACGACGACACTCTGGAGACGCGAGAAATTCCACGAATCAACTTACGAAAAGCAAAAAAAAAAAGAACAATAAGGAGTTTAAGAACGCAGTAGAAGAATTAAAAAGAGAAATAAAATAAGAAGCGAAACTTTTCACCGTGTTCGTTAAACAGATATGAGGAGAACTTAATTTTCGGTTAATTTAAAGCGGACAATTTTCCTTCAGTGTAATTCAAATCTGTCGTTTAATTACCGTGATATTTAACGTTGGAAAATAAATAGTTGCATCAAATGATGGGCTCCCGTTAAATTTTCGCCGCAGAAGTAACGACTCCAAATACGTGAAAAAATCTATCATTAAACTATCATTTCCTGTGTGTGGAAGGCCACCCTGTATACGTAAAATATCGTGGTATGCAGGTAGGAATTATTATTATTAATTATTCAACATGCTATCTCCCAGGAAGATGTGGTTTCGGAAAATTCTTACGAAAAAGGAATCGACGTCGTCGCGACTCTGATGACTCGCCGTCTGCTGCGTGATGACGTCGAACGCCGGGTCGGCATACTGACTGCGCACGGTCGACGATCCGCTGTCATCATTGCCATCGTCGTTGTTGTTGTTGTCATTATTGTTGTTGTTGTTGCTGGCGTTACTGTAATCTCGCAGTACCGCGTCTCGATTCTCCGCGAGGGCGCCGATTTGTCGACCGCTCTTGGAAACGTCCGACGACGAGCTGCTCGCGCTTTTGGTGGACTCGCGTACGCGCTCGCCGACTGAGAAGGAACGCAGAAACTCTAAGAATAACGCCGAAGAAGCACTTGTTGAGAGCATGTACTTGCAGTTTGAAGCATCGAAACGTGTGTGATCGTGTCTGGCTCAAACTTTTCCGGCAGAGTCGTCGGCGAATCGCGCAATGAACTCTTTCGATTTCTACGCCGGAGGAACGCGCTTTCGTTCGCGCGGAATCGTCGAGCGGAAGCTAACTTTCGAATCTCGGAATTTTCAAAGGCGGACTACTCTCGGAACGTGACGACTCGTATCGATCCGGCCCGTCTTGCGCGATACAACGCGAGCTTCGATCGTACCTTAGACTTGACCAGCGGAATATTGATCACCGCCGTCGGCTCACCTAAGCTCAATGTATATGTATGTACGAGGTGAAGAACCTCTCGCTCCACTTCAGCTACTCCCGACATTCGCACCGGACGAAAGCCTCGCCAGTTCAATTCGGCGTCGCATTACCATTCGATATTTTCTTCGCGACACGACGTACGGAATTCGATCTCGATTCTCTCCGTTTTCTTGATTTTCTCGGCGCGAAATGAAGTCGAGACGCGGAACAGCGCGGATCTGGCCGACCCGCGATGCACCGATACTTGATACAGGGGGAAGTAACCGGTTCGTCGAACGTTTCGTTAGTATATTTATTACGAGAGAAGCGGCGAAACAAGGAGACATGAAACGCTCAACGAATCTACCCTGAATTTTGCCAACCTTCTCCGGTCTCTCCTGTGCGAGATTTTACCAGCCGCGATTTGCCGATCAAGTATGACAAAAGTTCACACATGCTTCTTATGACGAGCTAAATTTCAAACTAAATATAGCCTTCTGATTCGTAAGTTGAGAGAACGTTATATTCGACCTTCGTGTGAGACGAGACGTTTAGCGCTGAACGCGCGGTCGGATGATGGTCTCGCGTGTTCGAAAAAGGAATATTATATTTTTTCTTTCCTTTATCGCAATCCTGAAATTAATAGCTCGAAAGGACGATATCGGAACGATCAACGACCGTGGCTACGTGGTCGAAAAAGATAAGATACCTTGATACCGAGATTCCTCCTTGTTGAAGCTTTGCACGTTGTAACTCCTCGTTTCAGGCGAGAAGTGGCGGCTGTTCCGCGAATTGTACTCCTTCTCCTCGTTCATCGTCGCTTTACCGCTGAAATGCAGAAAAGCAGAAGTCGAACTTGAAAGTTTCTTTCAGCAGTGACGCACATGCAACCGGTGTGTGGCCTACATTGATCCTTCTGTGCTCGAATTATTCTTTTTTTTTTTCTAGGAAGAATTTGCATTTAAACACACATAATTCACGTCCCACTAAAGGTTTCTAGGATCGTTGATTATGAATTGATCATAGATATAATATACTTAGACCGAGTGATGAGAAGTGGGGGGGNGGGGGGGGGGGGGGGGAGTCGAAGTGTACATGTAGAAAAGGATGCACTTTGTGTTTTGTGTCCTGGCGTTTCTCCTCGTTCGCGCATACAAACACGCGCATAGATCACGCGAGCGAAGAAAAAGTCGTCATAAAAGTATTAAGGAAGATCAACGAGAAGTGAGGATGTACGAGAGTGGTTTGAAAAGTAACTTGGTATCGGGTACTCATAGAGGGCGTAAGAAACAATTGTATATGTGGTTGTATAATTCTCTTTCTTGTAACAACCCGCGCGAAATTTCCAGTCTTCCGCCATTGATTCTTTTCGTTCGACAGTCGTTTCGAGCGATACTGCACAATGGATAAAATTGGAATTCGAGGTGCGATTCGATTCTTGTTTTCGGGAGAAGGAAATAAGTAACCGGATTCCAATCGATTGAAACATTCACTTGTAGAAACTCCAGGGAAATCCATTCTAAATTTAAGCAAATATTCATTTTTATGATTCCGAGTGACGTTATTTATTTTCAATATCGCTTCAAGTAAAGTTTCACGTGTTTTGTGTGAACTTCAGGCACTTTAAGGAACATCACCTGAAACACCCAGATATATCCGTTATTAACACCGTCATTTCACAATCGCGATCGATAAACGTACACCTCGTAATCGCGAGGTCTTCGCGATATTTCTGACATCGACTCGACGATTTTCTCCGAGTCGCGTCGATCGCGAAATCAACGGGAAAAGTATCGGCCATGCCTGGTATAACATACAAGGTGTCGCTGCTTTGGCTCAGCTTCAAGGCGATGACCGGTGTCGCGGTGATGACAGTCGACATGGACACGCCGTCATCCTCGTCTTCGTCGTCTTCGCGGCTAACGCCGACCGATTTCCTACAACGGAAGATGCAAGGGCAGCAACGGAGAACGGCGTGCACGATCTTGCGCTCGGCCTTGCTCGCGGACGGCGCTCTCCCGCCGATCTCTTTCACCTCGCTCGACCACGCGCAGGACTTGAAGATCATCCTGCTCGCTTCACCGAACCTTCCGCTCGAAAATTCGCGATCGCGAAACGCGCTTTATCGCCGGTACCGATTAATCGATCGAATGCGAGCGAGCGTGACGCAGTCATTTGTGCGATTTGGACCTCGTGGACGATGTCCCGGACGGACGACAAAAACGTTCGAAGATCTCACCTTCTTGCGGGTGAAAGAAGCCAACTTCGTTAGCGAGAAGATGCGAAAGGATATATATCTCCTCCTTCAGTGAATTTTCGTGGTAGCAGCGTTCAGTTGGTTGGACATCAAGTCTGTCCTCGAGCGGTTGTGCCGAGGATGAAAATAATATTACGGGTTTATCGTGTCGATCGGTCGACGAATAAATTGATGTGTACCGGGGGTAGTAATCGATAAGTGGTATAGCATTGTATCAATATTATTAATGTAAGGATGAACGTCAAAGGGAATGGAGGGGGGGGGAGGGGAGGAAGGTTAAACGTAGCCGCGAAAACTCGCGAACGAATTGCGCTCCGACCTTCCGAGATTGTCTGTTATCAGGGGGGAACAAGTGCGCGAACACCTGTGCCTGGAATCCAATCGATGCTAAATAATAATTTCGAAAGCAAACACAAGCGATCCTGCGGATCGCTTCCCGCCACGTAGCGGAACGCGCGGGGCGAATCGATGCTACGTGAGTAACACGCGCAGCATGCGGGCCCTCGCGCGAGAGATCGAATTGCCGATTGTATTATCGACCAGGTGTCCGAAGTACAGGTAGTTCCTCGGAACAAGTGACGCACTCTTCATATCGGCCGCGGCGCCAACCTCCACCGTTGCGACCTCATCGCGTCTTATTTATCCTTACGTTTTTTACACACACGCATACGTGCGCATTCTCACTCACTGACACGTGCCGTGTTCCTGTATCGTGCATTTGATTTCGCTCCCGTCGGTCGTTCTCGTGCGCCCGTCTCCGGGCTTCGCTGACTTTACCCTCCGGCGATTTAACAGCCGTTGAATTACTTAGCACATCATCGTGAAGTATCGCACGCGCGGCCGAACTCGTGCAATTATCCTACAGCTGCCATGGGTGTATTTCTGTGCATGTGTGTGTACAATCCCATCCGACTGGCAGCGATTCGATCGAGATTCACGCTCATTCCGTCGGCCCTAGGAGGCAAGTTTTCAAGGGCGAGCTTTGCGTAACAGCCGCTGCTCGCGGAACCGTGCGTCGTCGACGCGCACCACGCACTCGGTATACACGATGGCGCACACAACGCATCCTTCGGGCGCGATCGTATTCGCCGTCGATTCGAATCAGCCGGACGGCGCGCGTCTACATGATCGTTCCCGTGTCAGCTCGACGAGACCTCGCTCTTTCTCGCCGCGACCGAGCTTCCGGCGCGACGAACAGGCTGAGGTTTAACGGCGGAGGTGAAGGAGGAGGCATCATTTGCGGGCCGCTCGCGACAATCGACGACGTACGCACGACTGTGGGCCATGTAGACGCCGAGCGTCCCGACGCCGCTGACCGCTACCACCTCCTCTGCCGCCGCCATGTCGCCGCGCCATGCCGTGTCCACTCGTCCCCCTCGTCTAGCGTTGCAATTTTGTGAATGTACGGGAAGAATGGTGAGAGGACACGAGTAAGTTTGTAACTCGGTGACCTCGCGTTCTGCGTGATACTTGAGAAAGAGGCGAGTAGAGGAAGACGCGTGACGTTAGGCGTATAGATTGGATTATAGATCAGAAATGAAAGAGGCGACTTGTTACTTCCTCCACTCCCGCTCTGTCCTCACTTCATGTTGGAAATAACGGTAAATACGGTCGTCGGTAACATATATGTACCCAAATGCTTGGAAAACACGTTTCTGACCTACACGGTCGTCTTTAAATAAATCTAATCGAACCGTCGACACAGAATATACAATTTTTCTCATATCTTGAAGTTGTTAGAAATCAAAGTTGCAAATGAAAGTGCTTAAGTCTCTATAAATAATAGTCCCGGAGGAGATCATTTTGAACACTTCCTTAAATAAATTTTCGCGTTGAAGGGCGCAAATGTTAGACTTTTCTGTCTTCTTCAAACACACGTAATTTTTCATGTTCAGTGTTACTTAAATGTCGTGTTATCGTAGGTCACTGGGCTCTTTTCGTTGTTGTTGTTGGCTGTACAATCGCACAAACAACACGTTCTATGAAAAAAAAATCACTTTGATCTTCGAATCTTTGAAAAAAGTGACCTTGAATAAAATTTTTGTCATAATTGCCCCTCGAATAGTGCAACATTTTCCTTAGACATTTTCTTGCATTATCAAAAACAACTTCATGGCCGATTTTGATACATTTTTTTCTAACACAGTCAGCAAGAAAACTGTTGTGTACCACTCAGTATCATTCTTGTGCCATTCGGTATTAACTATATGACGATTTTCAAACGCAACACACAGAACTGAATATCATTGAAGAACAATCATTTTCTCCGCAACACTTCGGCTTTAATTTTGTTGCTTTGTGGTTAATTTTTGAACGGCTGGCCGTCTACATCTAATATTCTACGTTTGTACTTAGGGAGTCGCCCCTCCCCAAAACTATTAAAATTTGGTCCACATCCGAGTTTCCAACTTCATGTGGTCTCCTCGTTAGCGTTACAATTATTGCAACATTTTTCGTCGATTCACGATGTCATTATTGCTCAATGTTTCCGAAATTTACCTATCGGAATTTTGAGCGGCTAATTTAAAAGGGGGGTAAGAATTGTTTGCTCTCGCAATGGCACATTTCATGAGGTCGCTCACTCGCGCGCATTAAATATTGAGCCGCGCGACTCTCGCAGATCTTGATGGTAGACGACGGAAGCAAAAGGCATTTTTACAAACTTAAAGGTGATTATGTACACCGCGTGTGCGGCTTTATCGAGCGATTAAAAATTGCGGGCACATGCGAGGGTGAATTTTGCTGGCCTGGAATCGACGATCTGAATCTGCTACTACGTCGCGTTAAGTGTGTTAAGAATAATAATGCATGTCAAGTGACGAGATCGAGATTAAAAGGAACACGAGGTCGCGTACCTCGTGGCTGCTATTACAGCTATCTCGCTTTCTCGCTCTTAACTATCGTCGCCAATTCGATGTTTCATATCTTTGCAATTAACACACTCAGTCTTTTTTTCCCCGAGACTTCACGCGCGCGTACTAGCTGCTTCATTTCATTAATCATGGGAAATATCATCGTAACGCGAAGTCGTTATTGTTAATATGCGTTTCCCCAACGTCGTTCGTCAAGACGTCCGTTCTGTACGTAATTCAATTCAGCAAACTCCTTATTCGACACTTGGCACGGGGCGACTATTTTTGCATATTATCTTACGCGATCGATACGCGACATTTCGTTCGTGGTTATTTTAGGCCGGAATCGACCGGTCTGGAGTTTCGTACGAGTGCGAGAAAAAAAATTCAGGCGTGCGAGAACGTGTACTTTGATGCGAGTCTCGGTCTCGAAGTGTAGGTTCGTGCGTTCTTATGATTCAAGCAACTTATATGTCGTACATTGACGTGGTGTGATACCTGCTTGAAACCAGCCGGATGAACTGCCTCGATCGGTGGAACTGCGATGGCGACAACGATCGCAATCTCCTTCGATGAGGATCGGCGAAATTTTCCGAACGCCTATTCTCCTGTGAACCCGATGAAGTCAAGTCCATCTCGGACCTATGCTGCGTATCCCTCGTCCTACGATCCTTCGACTATAATTTTGATTTTATTTCACATTAGGAGCAGCTCACACGCGGTGTTACCGACTTCGACGATCGTGAGAAAGTTCGACGGGAAAGAAAAAAACCATTTTTTCACTTGGATTTTTCGTTTCCTCCTATAGTTGAATTTATATAGAGAGAGAGAGAAAAGAGAGGAAGAAAGGAGAGGTGGAAAAAGAAAAAGGTGAACATGTGTCGTCTCGATAAAAGAAAAAAGAAGTACTAAATTTGTAAGAATGGGACAATCCCTGAGAAGTCTTACTTCCAAAATATCACGAAATATCGGTACAATCTCTCAAAAAATACAACTTTCTCGAAATAATGGAAAAATGATGCTTTCCTGACATTTTACGAATTATTGAAAACAGTATGACGAAACAATGTGTTTAAAAATACAATTTTTTCTGAAAAAGTAGTAATAATAATAACTTTTCGATACATCGTTTTGATATTAGCTTCTTCATTGAAATGTGATTTGTTTGAGAAACTGTCTAAATTTGTAAGAATTTCTTAAAATAACATATGGTCCGCCGAAAGAGAAAGAGAGAGAGAGAGAGGGAGACCTTAAATAGAAAACAGTTACTTACACGGAGTATTGCGTCCCTCTCGCTATTTACAACTTGCGAATCGAAATTTGGAAATTCCCGGCGCACGTGGGTTAACGGATTCGGAGCAGTCCGCAGTAGTCGATTTGTATTTCTGTCCATTAATTTCTCCCGTTGCTCGTGAATGGAGGTATATCTACAAATCCAAGGATCAATTAGGCCTAGGATAATTTTAGCAGACGAACATGGGGAACGCTATTTTCAAAAACTCACGTCTTAATCAGCGTTTGCTGTTGCGTGTTTCTTGATGAGGATTGCTGGCGTCCTGCTCCTCCTCCTCCTCCTCCCGCGTAATCTAAGCTCTCGTTCTTACCTGTAAATGTCTCATTATCTATGAATCTGCCGTAGTAATGCGAATTTTCATCCGAAAAAATTGCCTTCTTGTTCTCCGCGGCGTCCTGCAAAAATATCGTATCGCCAGGATTGATTTCGTGTGCACGACTACAATTTGTAATTGTGATTTACAATAATTAACGTTATCAATCAATATGGCAAAGTAACAGGAGCCTTGACATGGTTAACATTTTGGGTAGCGCGGAAAGTAAATCGTTATCTTCCATGTGATCTTCCGAGTTTATTTCACGGGAATTTTAGTCTTTCTGCACGATGCGCAAAGTCGCTTACGTTGTACTCTCTGCTTGTGGTCCCCGAGGCTTTCGCGTAGGCGGATGAATGGTAACTGCCGTAATGCGAGTCGAAGGTTTGATTCAGGCTCTCCTCCTCTTGGTAAAGACGTTTTCGCCGTTGATACGTATTAGCGTATGATCTGTGTGATAAAGATCACAGCGTTAATTTAATCGAGAGATCAAGAGAGCTTGATTCTTAAAATTGAAAGATCACGAGGATGGTTTGAAGAGTGATATTGGTTTGATATTGAGGACAACGGTTTTAGTTTAATAGGGTACTTTACTTTTCAATATAATCCCCTCGAAGCTCGACGCACTTCACTCAACTGGTTTCTCCAGATTCCCGATTCCCTCCCGGAAATGGAGAAGGAAGGAAGAGAATTAAAAAGGAAGAGAACTATATAACCACATATATAATTTTAACTCATGTCCTCTATGAATACCTGAGCCAAGTCACTCTTCGAATCACTCTCGTAATTGAGAGGGCAGATTACGGTCCGACAGTAAGACTCACCCGATATTCTCCTGCCACGAATTTATCCGATTTCGGTTACTGTCCAGCGCATCTTTCGTCTGCTTCCGTGAATTGGAGTTGACGTATCCCAGGTTGATGGATTTCTCGCGATTCTGCGGCGTTACTTTGTGACGCTCGCGTGTCAACAATACAGGGATTTTTGATTCCTATAAATACACATGTCCCTTCTTATTTTCACAGTTACTTGATAAATATTTATGCTACTAATAAAAAAGACAAACAATAGAAAATTATGACGTAATAAGTGAGTATTTCTTAAAACATATTTTAAACGTGTGCTGTTGCAGAGCTTATATTAAATGTTGGCATATTATGTTCAGCATTTCTGTCTAAGAACTTATAAAAACCAAACGGTTTATTTCTGCAATTGGTTCTTACAAGTCAAGTTTATGATTTTATTTGAATGGGAAATTAGAATATATTATCATATCATATAAACGACACATTTAATAAGGAAACGATAAAATGTCGCTATTCCACAAATCGCTGTGCATCTTGCCTTTTCCTTGGTGATTTCATTCAGATCTTTACGACTTCGTGTTTTCTGCTCGAAATTGCTGTCGTGGGTTTCTTTGAGATCTTTCAAATCCTTCCCGACAAGGTCATACAGTTGGGTCGATGACGTATAAGACGATCGCTCCCCGAATCTTGAAGTGAAGTTCGAAAGCATCCCTGAAAAATCCGAAACGTCATTACGAGTCCCTCGATATCAAATCGAATTGTATTCTTCGTTCGGGATAGGAAATGACAAGGGGAAAATGAAAATACAGAATAATCGTACTTACCCGCATTTACGCTTTGTTCGTCCGGCTCCGTTATCTCGTCTTCATTGTCATTCTGCAACAGAAAGAGATACTCGAATACTGCGACATCGAGCCCGTTTTTTGCCGATTGCACAATACTCTAATCTTTAATATTTATTAATAAATAATGTGATATTTTTTTCAGGCATACAATCGCTAGGAGATTTTATTTCGAGGAATGCGAACGTTTGTATTGTGTTGCGAAAAGTCAAGTAAAAAATTGAAGTAACCTCGCGTCGCATTTCATATGACAGCTCATCGTTGAAGTTTATTCAGAAACAGTCGAACTCCGCGTATCATTGATTCCATTCAGCAGAAAAAGTAGATCAGTAAACGCTTTGCGCTTTTTCGGTGTCAGCAGCTTTGCAACTGTTAAATAGCGGTCGCTATTTTTTCCAGCATACTTTTAATACTAATTTAGGCTGGATCTTTTAATAAACATGTTGGAAAAGCGTAAATGTCGACCAGCTAAAAATCTTATAACACTTGCGAAGCTAACTAAGCTGCTTTTTTATGCGGGAACATAGAAAATTTATCAAAAATTTCAGATACCTAATCTGATGTTTACGAACTAAAAACACGATAGAATATTATTAATTTCGACAAAACATGGCCGGATAAAAGTTGATTAAAAATTATGATAAATAATGTACAAGAAGATAGATAATGTATTAGACGTTTCAAATAATCTTATTTACGAACTAAAAACACGATTCAATCGGATAGATTTTTCTTCTGCTTGATTTTATCGAATATTTTTTAGCAAATACGTTAATGTGGGCGAAGACAGTTGGTTTTACTCTAAAAGCGGAAAATGTTAACAAATTACAAAACTTCCTTTCATTTTTCGAATAAAGTCAACCGTCTTTGTCTATATTAGCATGCATATTATAATTGTGCAAAAGGATTTTTAATTCTGTGCAGCCAGCGACGAATATAATACCAACAAATTTTCAGTAAAACAGGAGGATTCCTTTAAGAACTGAAATCTTTACCATTATAAAATTTACTGTCTTCCTTGGCGAAATGAACTTTACTGACAGTCTATTTTTGCTGCGCTAAAAAAAATATGGTAAAATTGAAAAGAATCTATATGAAGGAAGCTACGATATTCTCTCCGTGTAGGACAGTGCTTATTTTAGCGAGATTCGTGAAGGAATAACAGACGCGAGCGATCTTACGTGCGAAGGCAATATCTGCCAAGTCACCGGTTGTTCATTCTTGGACTGCAAGCCGATACCGAGCGCAACGAGATTAGGTCTCTCTGTCCACGGACTGTCGCGGTTATTGATGTTTCTGAAATAATCCGTTCGACACGTTAATCGGAAATATCCCCGGAAAATCACGCGTGATCGCGCCCCGAGATTATTCGAGATTACCTGGACTCTCTCCCTTGCGCTGACATAGAAGTGGCGATAATCTGACCTCTGGTGCGACCAGTACCTGGCGAAACCGAGCCGCTTCCTGCCGCAATCCAATCGACATCGGGTCCTACGCATATCAAATATTGTGTGATATTAATTAATATTTTTGTGAGGGATCTCACAAATGTACGAATCTCTGCAAATTCGAGTCAGAGTTCTGCTGTCTTTGACCGCACGTTTTGTGCGAATACTTGGGAATATCGCACACTCGAGACGAAAGTAAAAGAAAGTGCGATGAATATAATTTTCCGTAAAGTCATAATCTCGAAATTCTAATACCGACACAATTTTCAAAATTTCACTTTAGCAAATAGCTATATATAATAGCAAAAAGCTATATTTTTCGGCACTTGTACTTATTTCAGTATTTATATCGACTTGGACTGGAATCAGTATTATCCTAAGTAACACAGTCTGGCTCTATATTCGCTTTATACGTTATAAATTGTAATAATTTGAGATGATTAGTCGTCAAAACGTCACAATGACGTTGTGGCGGATAGCTGTATCAGACAAAAATGCTGCGGTTTAAGCTACGACAACGCAGCCATTTATAGCTTCATGCGCTACTTAGGATAATTGTCAGTACAATTATATGCTATTAAAATTTCAGAAAAATTGCATTTCAAGAGATTATTTCAGTATTTGCATGGATTTCAGAATTACGACTTCCCGGGTAATTGTCCCATTTTTCCAATTTCGATACATTTTATTTTTTTTCCGAAATAATGTATACCAATGTGCCTAATTCGGAGGAAAAAAGGGACAAAGCAACGCACGTATAGTCAAAGAGCACAGGCTTTATATGTACATGTGCAGATAACTGTGTAACATTCGAACTTCGCGTTTTAGAGACATCACATCGCGATACCGCGACCGAATATAAGGTTGCTTTCAAATGTGGAAAATGCGAGCGAATATTTGCGCAGCGCGACTTAAACACGCGACAGAAAGAAATTAGGATGAAGTATCGACTGGACTCTAATGGGAGAAGAAAGGAAAAAAAGATATCGTTTATTTAAATTTGTCAATCTTTCACAGCAAAATTCTCCATTACGTAATGAACGAGTGAGCGGATAGAGCGAAAGATTTTAGTGCGATGGCTTTCGAAGATCCGCCTTTTTAGTTCGTGACGAGATTCTGTCGCGAGTGCGTTATGCTTCGCTCCCTTATTCCCGGTTGTTATTACCAGTAGCGATCTGAACAGTCGGTGAAATTTGCAAACCGTACACCACGAGGCCGTCGGCCGACACTAACGGCAGCGACTTCCGAGCCAGCCGAGCTCTGATTGCGGCCAACATTGCCTCAGCATCGGGGCTTCCGTCACCCGCTCGTTTCCCTGCTTTCAGGACCTCCTGCGAGAAAGACATCGATGATTTAAGGTAACACAATATCGTTTTCGCAGAAGTTACTTCGCACGATATTGGTAATTAATTACGTTTAGGATTTAAAAAATCACTAATATTAAGGAATGGTCGAAACTGTTCTATTTTGATAGGTTTTGGATGTTAGAACAACAGAAAATATTAGAACCATACTTTTTTAGCGGCGTGTGCTCAATGTTTAGTGGTTAAAACGATCCCTCGAAAATAACGGGTTTTTTTTTCATTTTTAACACGTTCATCACCAATCACTCGATATCGCGTGATGCGAGTTCTCACCAAACGGCGTTATCGCGTAATAGATATTTAGAGTACATAAATTCTATGTACATAATAATAAAAGCATATAAATAATATATTAACTTATTTTGAGCACAATAAAAACTAAATAAAAAAATTAAAAAAATACGAAATTCCAATTTTCAGCTTGGCAATGAACGTGTTAACGAATATCTTCGAAAATGAGATATATAAAGAAAATGTTTTATATAAAAGTTTTACGTTCTGTCCCAAGCGATATACCTCGGGATCGTAGATTTGTGCCAAAACAGCCAGGGTGTCGAGTGCGGCTTGACGTACTCTGCGTCGCCGGTCCCCGACCATCGTCGTCACACGGTTGGCCACAGTTTCCAGCTTGAACTCTGTGCTCGGGAACGTCACCAGCGAGAAGATTAGCAGCTGCAGCGCGTTTTCTCTCGTCTACGAAGAAGCGTATAAATTTGATTCGAACCATTTAATTCGTATCATTTTACATGTCTCGTTCGTAGTTAATTTTGAGAAATTGACTCGGATAGAAATATAAGATAAAAATTATTATGAAATTTTGAAACCGAGAAACATCTTGACATTCTATCTTAATATATTATTCTCCTATTTGATATGTGCTATTTATATATTTTTTAGGAACTGACAAATTTACCGTTAAAAAATGACTACGTTCCTTGGCAAAATTTCCTTAGCAAAATTTATCTTTAATAAGACGAACTCAACTTAGTCCATTTCTGCATTAAAAAAATTGTAAAATTGAAGAAAGAATTATAATAAAAATTGAACTTTACAAGTAAAAAAATGGTAAACTTAAAAAAGTTTGCGTGGAAAAAAGCTATGTGATATTCTATATATACATGCGATTACGGAATCACCTTAGCATTTCTAGCGTTCAGACAGTGCGGTTGCATTAGTTGTTCCAGAAGCAGGCTAGGCTTGAGCTTGAGCATCGCGATTCTAGCGAGCTGCGCCGTAGCTGGACCACCTTGTCTGGCAAGACCCCATGCCAACTGCGGCAATTTTCTCTTGAGCGCATCTTCGGAGACGCCAGCAACGATTATCTGAAATACGACATATTTCAAATAAGAATACACGTAGCAGCGTGGGCTTTTTAGGAGCTCTTCCCGAGCAAAAATGACCGGTGCATTTTAGTATCTATCTAAGATTATTTCAAAGTTACATTCTATTCAAATCACGTAACTTTCATTCGTCATTATTTCGACTTGTCTGTCGTTAACCGTGGAAACGCATACGGGGCGCGTTGTACGTGCACGATAAATTGCTCGAGATTTTGGCACATTTACGACGAATTCTCTGGAGAGAGAGGGGGACGAGTTATGAGCTTACCTTCGCCACCGCTAAACCGGCGGCGGCTACTCGGCAGCTCCTTTCGCCGCCGAGCACCGCATGCAAGAGCGATCCTAATCGCGACTCTATCGCGATCAGGGCCGAGGACGTCCGCAGGGCCGACGCGACTCTCTCCAAAGCTCTCACACGCGCTCGCCAGTCCTCCTGCAAAAGTGACAAGTAGCTGACGATAAAAGATTACGCGGAACTATAACCTCACGGAACGCAATGGAAGACGCGTCTATCTGCATAACTATCAAGTAATCGCGTTCCCCCGATGTCCACGTATGTATCCATCGAGCGGAGATCGATCATCGCGTTTCTGATTTCTCGATTTCAAATATATGTTCTCTCCCCCCTCCCTCCTTTTTCTCTCTCTCTCTCTTTCTATGCGTTTACAATTCGCGTATCGCGACCAATATCGGGTACAAATAAAAGTACCCTGCGGACTTGAAGCGAGCAGCCGAAGTGCATCCAATTTCGCTTGCGCTATTACGAATCGGAAAACGGTTTGAAAATTACCGGCCGGTAGATAAATGGCGGTACAATTGCTGGCTGGTGATTTGCATATATACGAGAATGACGCCTACCTGGACCGACCTGGCACGCAACACGTACCTCATTTTCTTGCGACTTACTGCGGCCACACGTTTCCCTCTTTCCCACCCCCTTTTCCCGTCGTCCTGCGCTCCCACGCACCCTCCGGTCGCATAACGATCCGTACAAGGGAAATCTCCCGGCGTTTTTCAGCCGCGAAATATTCACACGTGAACGTGCTCGAGTAACACAGTCTGGCCGTATATTCGCTGCGACGGCAAAAATCTGGCTAATCTTGCCAGCCTAATTACAGCTGTTTGGACACAGACGTTATTTTGCCGGACTTTTAACTGCAAAAGCGCTGTGACGACTAATAAAAAAGTCGAGACTAACCGTAGCCACTTTAGCTGCATTAATTGGCATCGCTGTGACATCGCGATAACAAAAGTCAAAATGTACTTATGAATTTGCGTTAGTATATGTGCGTTATAAATTGTAATAATTTATAGTGATTAATGAATTATCTAAATTTGATCTAAGTTTAATGAGGTGAAGATTCTGGATTGTCAGGTATTCACAATCCCGGTTGAATCGAACAATTTTTACAAATTCTCCTTTTAATATTTTTACGTAATTTTAAAGTTAACTTTTAATTTTCATGGGATATTAATTTACATATGAAAAACATTCTTCGTTTATTAGTTTGTTTATCTTTATACCAACCGCCATTGCTGTAACATGGCTATTATGATCTCTTAACTTAATAACTTTTTATTTCCAACTTATGTAGCAGCAACTGAATGTGCTGACCGGGATGTACGAGGTTTGTTCAAAAAGTATCGCGAATTTTGAATTTTCGCGGGTTACGTATATTCGATTTTCGATTTTTTTGTGGCGTTATGTTGGTACTCATGTCCCTCACTTATGCCGACAAGTTCGGCCATTTTGAATATTCAGTTTATCTTTGACAGCTGTTTTGCTTGGACGTGTTTTGGCTCGTCTTAAATTTTTGCCTATTCCACAAAATGGATCAAAGAATCTAACAAAATTAAGTGCGCGGACGAATGTTGACTGTGGCATATGGTGAAGCTACCTTGGACCGAAGCAATGTTTATCGGTGGTACAAAATGTTCTCAGAGGGCCGAGAAGATGTGAACGACGAAGAGCTTGCCGGAGCATGTCAACAACAGACTAAAACATTGATGAAGTGAAGAAAATAGTATTGGCCAATCGAATCACCGTTAGAGAAGTTGCTGAGGACCTAAACATATCGATTGGCTCGTGCCATTCGATTTTTACTAATGATTTGGACATGAGACGGGTCGCCGCGAAATTCGTACCAACGCCCCTGCTCACACATCGTTGCTTGTGCGCGAATTTTTAGCCAAAAACAACACACTAATGATGCCGCAGCCACCGTATTCTCCAGACCTGGCCCCCTGTGACTTTTTCTTGTTCCCGAAACTGAAGAGGCACATGAAAGGACGATGCCACGCTACGACTGAGGAGATAAAGACGGCATCGAAGGAGGAGCTGAACAAGATCACAAAAAATGATTTTTTGAAGTGCTTCGAGGATTGGAAAAAACGTTGGCACGAGTGTATAATATCTGATGGGGATTATTTTGAAGGAGACAAAATAGATATTCATGAATAAATAAATAATTTTTGAAAAAACACAAAATTCGCGATACTTTTTGAACAGACCTCGTATAATTACACATAATATGCACGCGGTTTTTGCGAGAAGTATTGCATTTTCATTCGCTCCGATTGATGGAAGTGAACGACGATCGTTTTAAAAACGAAATAATCGCAGCTTCTGTTGAGGAAATATTTACATTTGATTGACACTTTTGATCTTCGATACAATTTAATCTTGTCCTCGATTCATGAGTCGAGCTAATAACGAACAGTAAATAACAATTTAGACGTGCGCCACGAGGATCGATTTCGCGTTTGAGGAAAGATCCGGGGCAAGAAAGTCCTGCATGGAAGAAGTTGCGCCATCGACGGTGCCACCAGTGTAGCGACAACTACAGGTGGCACATCGGGTTAGATCAATTATGCAGTGTAAATACAACGTTACGTGAAGCCGAACAGTAGATAGATATATGCATATTCCCGCCGGTCGGGATTGCGGCGAGAAACGTCTCGTGGAAATCGATCGGGGCATATTTATTTTCACCGGGCTTTCGCAGACGCGTCGGCGGGGTCGCACGTGCAATCATAAAAAGGTCTAGGTGCGGTGACCTTGAAGTTAAACTGAATGAACATACGGCGCACCGGACGATCGGTTGCCACGTACGCGCTACGTCCTACGTTTCGGGTGATACAATTCGGGTATTTATACACACCGGGTAATACCCAGGATTCACAAGTATTACTCATGTACTCGGATATCTTCCTTGATAAACTCGGGCAGTGCCCGAGATACGGAAATTAGTACGCGGAATTGACAGTACCGGTATACATTGGCGCGAGCGTTTGCTGTCGTAAAGTACAACAAAGCGCCGTATGAATTACGTTGTCATTATCGGTCGATTTACGCTAGCTCGTCGATAATTGACTCGTCCGCCGAACGATAATTCTCATCAAAATTCACTCAAATTAAAGAGCCATCATTCTTGCTCTTCGGACTTTGTCGAACGAACGGAGCGAACGGTTTGAACAGCTGAACTAACGGAATTAACGTGCAGAGAGGATCTGGGCTTCCTCCGTGACGTTCCTCCCCACTTAGACTCCAGGAGTGGACTCATATTCGACATTGCGTCGATTCGCTCCCTACGTGTTTCCAACAATCTTGTTAATATATCGTTTGAAAGCAATATATTTCAACATCCGTCGTTCATCGCGTTCATTGAAATGCTGCTGAGTGCCGCATCTCTAACTATCGTTATTTTCACGTTACACCTGATATTAGACGGCAATAGCCGTCAAACTTATGCAACTTTACTTATGCACATTTGCACAATAAACTGGATCTGGAGAGCAGATGAGATTACATTTAAAAAGGAGAGCCGTTGAAGTGAACGATACGGTATCCACGATTGTAATTAAGTATGGATGTAACGGTATCGACAATTCGATTGCTCGGGGGCTGACGATACTCTAGATCCATCACTGTCACGAGAAATATGACGGAACCGGTCAGTCGGTGACTCGGTAGCAAGGTGGAGAGACTGCTTGTACGGTGAAGTCTCCGAAAAGTCTGTCGTTGAATTCAGTGTTCACGAATAAAGGCAGATATATATACACCTAACTAAGATCCGCGAATGATACGTGACGCGACGATGTCACGGCCACGGAAACGCGCGATGATCCGAATACTACAAGTTGTCGGCTATCTGGCAGCGATGTTTCTGACTTTAAAATTATTCCTGTCTATCGTCGGAGATGATGAGAGCGGGCATCCTCCCGTCGGCGACGATTTGCGCAGGCTGATGGTAAGCTGACGACAAGACTCTGGATTCCGGACGATTACGACGAATTCGTTTTCAGATTAACGCCGAGGCCGACAATACACGGCGATCGTTAAATGTGGAGAGAGTGTGCAAGAAATACAACTTGGGCTTCTATCGGAAACTCGCGGAGGACTCGCCGTTCAAGCATCCGCCCGCGCCCCAATATATGGTCTTCTACATGGATAGGTTCGTAGTGAGAAGATCGCGTTTAAAACTGGCTGGCCGATATAAAAGGGAGGCGGCCGAAGTCGAGGTCTCTTATAGATAAGGCTCTGACTGTTCCTCTAGCGCAGAATACACAATGTATCGTACTGCCCGGTGTACAAAGCCGGCACCACAACCTGGCTCTATAATCTCTGTTTATTAATGAATGTGCCCGAGCGTACGCTGAATCACGGAAAGGAGCAGCTGTCGAGCATAGCGAGGAGGGCGATACCGGAACTCGATTATCCCGAAGCCGCTCGGTTTCTGAACGCGAGTACCAAGTTGCTGGTGGTGCGACACCCGTTCGAGAGGCTGCTGAGCGCGTATCGCGACAAGCTGGAGAACTCCGTCGCCGGCCGGGAACACGGGACGTTTCACTTTTATCGAAAGTACGGAGCCAAGATCGTGCGGAAGTATCGCGGTGAGTCGCGAGAAAGTAAAGAGAGAAATTAGAAATCGACCGACCGGTAATTTTTCATTCGCTCGGAGCGGCCGGACGAATAATGAATTCTTTTCTTCCAGGGAAAGATTTCGCGAAGCCACGAGCGGATCAGGTGATTCGCCGTGAAGGTGCACCGCCGCCAGCCGGCGTGGAGCCGACTTTCCGTGAATTCGTCAACTATATCATCGACACCGACCTCGGCAGTTACGGCGACGATCATTGGATGCCGTATTATCTCTTCTGCACACCGTGCCTTGTCAGATACGACATTATCGCAAAGGTCAATATCGAGTTTGCGCCGCGAATAAACAGAAGTCGGCGTTCGATTCTCTGCTGAACTTTTCGCAAACTTTACTTCCTGTCAGGGAAAAAAACGTAGTTGTGGATTTCTAAGCTTTATTGTCCGTGAAGGATCAGGGGGGATCGCAACGCTTCGCGATTTCATTGGTTGCGTTCAAGCCAATGAAAAAAACAGCCGATGAGAGTTTTCCGCTGCGAGTTTGCAAGTGTTGTGGGATTTTCCCTTCTGACCGTTACTGAAAAATTTACACTGCTCCAACATGTTTACTGAGCGGTCCGTAGTATCAAAAGTATGTTGTTATTCAAAAATACTATATATTCCATTTAATCGACCGTTAAAATAATGGATATGCATTGTCTCGAAAAAAAGAATGCGACGAAATTCAGAAAGTAGGATAATTTTTAATAAATTTCTAAATATACCTTTCCCGAAAAATTGAAAAGGTAAAAGATTGTAATACCAAGAGCGGCATGAGACAATATATCGAAAAATACAGTTTTAACAAAGCAATAAAATAACAATAATAATAATATTCCAATAATAATAATACTTCTCGAGAATTTTGACACGTTCTTTGAAGAAATAAAAAAATATTAAGAACGACCGATAGTTTCGCAACTGTGTCATTAATGGAATTAATTTCGGACAGGTGGAAACGTTGTGGCGAGATCAGGTGTACGCGATCGACAAGTTAGGCTTGCAGAACAAGATCAAGCCTAGATGGAGGCACAGCAATAATTACGCGAACGCGTCCAGGGTGTACTTCAGCCAGCTGAGCAAGACCACAGTGCAGAGGTTGTACGAGAAGCTGAGATTGGACTTCGAACTTTTCGATTATTCGCCGGACGCCTATTACGAGTACGCCATATCTGTTGATTAGCCGGCAAAGCCGACTGAGCCGTGTGAACGATGATTAACGACGATGACTACACCGTTCTCCTCGCGCTCGTTCCTGCTTTGTGTTTCGTGGCAATTCGTCCCGCATTTTCCTACGTACATTTGTGATACGACGTGATACGACGTGAAGCTCGAAACCTCGATTTCTCGGCGACGATATGAGAAACACACCAACTACCGAAGTGAAGTGGATATTTTGCATTTGAGATAAAAGAAAGGAGAAAGGAGAATGAAAGAATAAGAGGAGGGAAAAAAAAAATATATATATATATATATATATTAAAACTCGTATATACACGCGCGTACACGTAATCCTGATAATTGATGGAGTTTAATCGCGTTACGTCACGCGACGAAACTTTTGTCGACGAAAATCGATCGACCTACTTCTCACTCTCGTAATGTATCGGACCGGCTTGTCCTAAAGTCAAGGGTTTCCAAACATTAATCGTCATCGGGGTGCCCCCAAAGCGAAGCATTACTCCGACGCGCACCAGAAATAGTTCCGGATTGTGTCTGCATGGATTCCAATGGACATTCGATGCAAATACATGTGTCGTATTTGCACGGTGTGATTTTTCAAAAGCCTCTTGAAAACCTAACTGTATTGTATCTTGATTTTCTTATTGAATTAGTCGCGGCTGGATAAACCGTCGCTGATGTCGGTCTGAAACGCCGTTCCGTAAGATTAAACGGCTAATTTTGATAAAATCATTGATCGCAGAGTTATAAGTGCGATAACAGCACAAGTAGCTTCACACGACGTAGATTCAAGAAGGATTAGTCTAACAAGGAAACATGAAACTCACTCATTTTGACTTTACTTTAGGTATCGTTGAGCAGCTGAAAATTTGAGCACAAAATTCAAGGGTTAAATTCCTCGAAAGTGATAACATTAAAAAATAAAATACATGAAGCCGTGAGGAACAAAGAAAGTCAAGTCGGCATCGATTCGACATAATTTCGATTGTTTCGAAATCGATTTCACGTCAATCGAACGTCGATTCGACATATATTTCTCTCTGAGTCAAAAAGTAGTGTCAAAATTACATTATCATTAATGAGATACGATATAGTGAAATGTATTACATGAAACAAAAAAAAATATGGGAGGATATTTGAATATTGTGAGATTTCAGTAGGACATCGTGATATATTCTACTGGAATATTCCGGGCATTAGAGAACATTAGGATATCTGTGCGATCGCACTTGGTAATCTGGGGTAATTTGGAATATCCTTAGGATAAAGTGGGTCATATACAATGAATCGACCTATTCGTGCATCATGACTGCTGTTTTGAATCATCCTTGTCGATTCGCCTAATAATACTCAGCAGTCGTGCAGATGCCGATTCATTGCGCGTTATCGCAAAGTTCCATTGTCACTAGGTCTAAATAAAATGTCTAGGTAAATGCTAAGGCTATTATGGCGCTTAGTATACTAACTGAATGTTGTACTTGAAATTCTTCCTCCAGTCCGTCGATCTGATTCGATTTTAATCCACCTTGACTGCGATTATGGTAATGCCGTGCGACAAATTTTACACGACTTGTTGAGACTCGATTCTTCCCACCCCTTTTTTTTCCGAACATTTATTAACGATCCGAACGACGCGCTTACGGCAATACAATCGCATGAACCCTCTCACCTTATTATGCAGATCGTCCAAAACCTCCTGACCGACCAGGCCCAGCTCCTCCCAATTAGGCTCCTGCGGCTTACCCTCGCCTTCGCTGCTGCTGCAAGTGACGCTCTCGTTCGTCTCCGACGAGTTCGTCCTGCCGCGCACTTGCCGCTCACTCTCGCCGTTCAGAACCTCGTGACCCTCCGTGATCAGTTCCATAACCTGTCCGACCTCGTCGACGAGGTCACCGTCGACCAGCCGATTGCACTCGTGCACCGGCGAGCCGAATGCAAAGTCGCTCGCGTTGCTCTCGGTCTCGCCGAAGAATTCACTACGTAACGACTCGTTCCAGGCGTCGTTCAGGCGTCCTCCTTCCCACTCGGGATCGTCGCTACCCCCCTCCTCGGCATTCCCTCTGTGCGATTTCCGCGACGGTGCCTCCGTCGATGCGTGATCCTTCACCTGCCTCAGCGGAACTTCGGCTACCATGTCGTTTTCTTTCAAATCAGCTGGGTCCGCGCGGCGATCGTCGCTCTTTTCGGGAAAAACAACGACTCGTTCCTCCGTTGAAGACACTCCGTTCGGAGTGTCTTCCGCCGTGGGTGTAATTCGTAGCACAGTGAGCGCGTCCTGATCGTCATCCTCCTTCTCGCCGTGACTCAACGACGACGATTGAACGATCTGTTCTCCGACCGACGTCTCGTTGATCTTCCGAGGAGAGCCACCGGTCACCCCCTCGTCCTCCGAAAGCACGTTCTCGCTGTTTCTTCGTTCCTGTGGGGAGGGACTCTTCGTCTCCTCGGTCGCTGGGTCGACGACGATGATGGGTCCGCTGGCCGTTCGCGCGAGGATGCTCTTCTTCGGGCTCAGCTGCGCGTTGTGCGTGTACGCTTCTCTCTTGGGGCTGCTGGAGGCCGACCTGGAAGTTCGCTTCGAGCCCCGCTTCTCCGCGTGAGGACTGCACGGTTGCGACCACGGTCGCTGTGGTCTCTCTGGCATCTTCGTGGCCGGCGACACGGGTAGCGGTATCCGCGTCTTCGGCGCGGCGATCTCGATCGATTCCGTCTCGTCGCTGTCGGGTGTCCTCAGCTTGACGATCTCGCCGCCGAAGTGCACCCGTCTCGATGTCTTTCGCTTTTCCTCCGGGTCCGCGAGAATGTTGACGTTCTCCCGATCGCCGTCCTCCTCTTCGCTGTCCTCCTCGTCGTCTTTCTCCTCCAAAATCGTCATCGTGATGGCCGTCTTCTTGTTGAACTTGATCTCAGTCTCGAGGACGACTCTGCCCGGCGACGCGCTACCATTCGTCGCCTCGTCCTCCTCCTCGGCTATGCCGGAAGTATCGCTGTCGCTGTCCCACTGAGATTTCTCCCGAGCACGCTCCTTGTCGATCTTCACAATGTCCGTCGTGTGCTTCCGGTCTTGCTTCTTCCTGCCCGATCTGATGTTGTAGATTTTCGAAAGGATCTCGATGTTCCTCCTCATGTTGTCGTCGTAATCCGCCAAGTAGCTCTCGAATTCCTTCTTACCGACCGCGTCGCGGATCTTCATGAGGGACTTGAGAACGGCTTCCTGATGCGGCACTTGGACCAATCGGGAGGCGAAGGCGATCGTGGCGTCTTTGAGGACCTGGCTCGCCGGTGCCGGACTGTCGGAGGATGGAAAGAGCAGCAGAGGCGCGCTCAGAATCACACCCGTCGTCACGTTCGTTTGGAACGGATTGTGGGCGTCCGGCCGATTCAAGCCGTCATGCAGGATCTGGCAGAAAGGTGAGAAAATACGTGACGCGTCGTTAATCGCGCGGAGGTAAAATCTCACTCGGTAAAATTCACGTGTGTCTAAGTGTATGATTTATGTGTCGCGTATTTCTTTCGAGAGTGAATTTTCACCGTTTCGTCCGTCAAATTCGAATGAACGGTCGAGTGAAACTTTTACAGTTCCGAGTGGTGGAACTTTCATTATTTTGCATCGAATGAATTTCCGTCCGTTTTAAGTGAGATTTCACTTTGGAAGAAATTCAGAAGTCATGTAATTTCGTTTGATCTCTTAATGTAAATATAAATAAGATCCAGTAGCGCGGATGTTTACATTTTTCACCATGCCGTCTCGGTTGGGGCTGTGAACGAGGTAGACTCTCAGCGTGTCCAGGGCACCCTTACGAACCGCCGGTGCTGGATGTCCCAAATTATTGATCAGCTCTGGCACCACTGGTTGCATGACCTTGTCAACGATATCGGCGTTCAGTGTCGGTAGCACGTCCATCAGCACCCGTAAGGCGTGTTGCCGCACTTCCCATTCCGGATCCCGAAGTCTCTCGGAGATTTCGACGAAGGTCACCTGCGTGTCGACCTCGGATGGAAATCTACGCGTGCGCACCTGGACCGGACGGAGATACGGAAGGAAGGATGTATCTTTAACTTGGAATTTCGCAGTAGAATGTATTCTCTTGTCAAAGAGGTCATTTTTACGTCTGTATAACACGCCGTGTCATTCAAATATATATGATGCGTGAATTTCAACCCGTCTATGGATAACAGGTCTTATTTCGTCTGATTGGGAATAATTTCCCTATTTAGGGGAATATCGAATGAAAATCGGCAACATATACAAGGTGGGCCATTTTAATCGACCCAGTCGAATATTTCGAAAATCAAGCCCGGGAGAGAAAAATTTTTCAGACAAAAGTTGTTTGGTTTCGAGGGGACCATAAGACGGTACCATTGGTTTGACCTTGAAGAATTATTTGAAAGTCACATGAAGGTCACCTCAATTTCTTTTAATGGCATCCTCTACTTTTTATTACATATTCTTGTAGCTGACCTCGAGAGCTTTCCAAAACACTGG